TTTGCAGAATGAACTCAACTAAATCTCACAGTTGAATAATCACTAAAACAGCAATAATAGCTCTCCGAACTCTCTTAGCTGCACTTATGTAGATAAGGGGATGGATTTGGTGCAGTATGAGCTTGTGGAAATTTTAGAAAAGATCAGTGGAGCACATATTTCATATTTTTACTTAAGCTATTTTCATGTTCCAAACATTGCCATTCTCAAAATAACCAAATTAACAATTCCATATAAGAAATAACACTTACATAAAAATATACCAGGTCACAAAACAAATAAGTAAATAACAACAATGTAATAAAAAGAATTTAAACATTTACAGGTATATTCAATAATGCCTTACATATATACAGTAAATGTCTTAATCCTTATTCAGCATATGCCACCTCTGATGTAAACTGAAACTTTACTACATAAATTGTACTTTTCATAAGAGGTGTTGAAATTGCACAATAATAATAATAAATCTGAAAGGTTTCAGATTTTAATGGCTGCCAAAAAGGGTTTGTTAAGGTTTTTTATGCTCTCACTGAGCTCGCTGTCTGCCAGTTATATTACACACACTCCTACTAACCCACTGTTTTTGTCTTTTTAGCTTTATTATTAAGTATCATTTTCTCCGCACTTACGCCATATACAATTCAACAGCAAAATTACAAAAATTTTAAGCAGTATACATTTAGAATTCCTGATGCAATGTTAAAGAGTTGGAATATTTTTCTATTTTTTTCAGTCTTTTTTTAGTTCATCATATCAATGTTCAGTTTTCTTACTAAAATGGCTTTACAAAACTTTTTTTCATCTTTTTTTCGTTTTGTGCATTTACTTTTAAATGCCAAGCTATTTACACTTAAGCCACATAAAATTCAGTTCAACAGCAAAATCACAAAATAATTAAAAACAGCATACGTTCAGAATTTCTGACAGACAGTCTTGCACACTGGAAATAAAAATGTTTTTTTTTTCCATACAGTGTTGCCACTGTTCACTTTGAAATTATTGAGTTTGTCAATCAAAAATTCGTTAAAGTTCTACAAAACATGAAACCGATAATAAAACAAATTCAAATTTGGGCTTCCAGTTGCCTATGTTCAGGTGAAGGATTACATTATTCAAAATTTGATATAATAGGTACTGTTGTTTTTTCACAATGTGAGAAACATGCATATATCCATGCAAATTCTTCATTACTTAATTTCTTTAAATATAATGTAAGTCAATAATATTTGGTGGCTACAATTTGAAAAGTGATATGCTGTTTATAGCCATTCAAATCAAAATGCCATTTTGAGGCTAATAATGAGGTGACTGCCAAATATATAGATATTTGTTTTTACATTTTAATATCTGCAATGTAGTAGATCATATGATATTTTGATATTTCAGAGGCTATTTTACACATAATGTTTTATTTCTGTCAAAAAAATGAATACAGAAGAAAATAGCAATATAGAAAAGAAGAAGCAATAATAGTAATAAAACTTAGGAAAATTATGAAGATTTAGACAATGTTTCTAATTCTTATAATAATTTTGACAATGATATCAGCCTTACATAGTACGCCTGGGAAAGGAATAATTTATCGTTATCATACCCAGTTGCAAAGAAAAAGAAGTTATCACGATTCTGATGAAAACTGGATAAAAAGCAATAATGACAATGACATTAATTTACCAAAAAAATCCTGTTTACAAATACTAGATCAACAGATTATTTTAAGACATCTTTTACAAATAAATTTATAATAAATTTGGTACTTTTTTATTACTATAGCCCCCCTCAATTTCAACATTCAGTAAAAGTGCCAAGTTTTTAGTATACCGTTGGATGTACACATGACAATAGCCAAAACACATGTATGTACACCACAAATGTATTTGAGTACATGTGTATTTACATTTAACAACTGTTTCATTAAACTGTATCAGCTAACTGTAAAAATGTAAACATCAGGCACGTAAACTTTTTGCTTTTGCTCATAATTTTTTTTAAATACTTTTTTATTGTTATTACTTATGAACAAAATAGTACCTATACTATGGCAGTTTTTATCAAATCACAAAGTCACCGATGAGTTGTCGATTTTTTGTAGAGGTGCAGATAATCAGAAAATATCACAATTTTTTGCTGCAAATAAATTCATATGCTAATGAAAAATTTAAGGCAAAAATTTTACAAAGAACATGGTCAGTGTGATAAAACTGGCAAGAAATTTTGGTGAATAACTGGGTTTATTAAGGCAGGGTGAAAAAGTTAAATAATATGAATACAATCTTCTTAAAAGATAGAAATGATTATTTTCCTTTATAAAAAAGATACAGATTTTTAAATGTAAAATAGCATGCACTCTAGTAAGTTTAATTTTTTTATTTTATGTTATTTAATATCTTTATTTTCAAGAAAATATTACATTTCCATAAAGCAAAAGTGTATCCTCATATAGGCAGAAATTTTAAAATTTTTAGTACAGACAAATTTATGCTCACTTTGAACAAACAAAAAAATTGCACATTTAGAATTATCAAAAAAATGCAAAACTATGATTCTTGATGGTTTTATGTAAACCAGGCAAGGCGAAAAAATTCTGCTATCTTACACAATCTATTTTCTGTTCAAATTACTATATCCACAAAACTTCTTTCCTATCCACAAATGATTTATAAAGATACCAATACTATTCTCAGGAATGAAAGGGGGGATTAGCTATGTAAAATGATAAACACAAAGGAAAAAATTTAAATATTATTGTACATCCCAATTAATTGGAGAAATTTATGTCTGGGTCAGAAAACATAAGAATAGGCTAAAATTAGTGATGGTATAAAAAAATATTCCTTATTGCTATCTTTTGTGGTACAGTCTGATTATCTGTACATCAAGTTTCAACATTTGGTAGAATTGTTGTGGTTTGGTGTATTTATTTTTATTTGGTACAAGACCCAGCAAGCAAAGGAAAATGACTGTTTCGAAAACATTTAAAAAGCCATAGCCAAACAGTTTCTGTTTTTCCACATAAAATTTCTTGTTTCTTATAAGAGTTTAAAAAAAAAATATTATTTCAGAACTGAGTAGTACCTGTGAGCCTACAGACAGATAAACAAATGCCCCCCCCCAAATCCCCTGTCGCCCAAATATTCACCTGCAACTTTGTGTGGGGGTGTAAAAAGTCAGAAAATGCCTTTTTAGCTTTAAAAGAAATAAGTTCAAATGAAAATTGCATTTCTTTTACTCAGAAATCAAGCAGAAAATTCATTATATGAGATAATAATAAAAACTGTCATTCAAATAATCAACTATACTGGTTTCTAAACATTAAGTAACAAACGGAAAACTGATGATAACTCAAAGACTTATTATAACATTTATATCACTTGTAATTTAAAAACAAGAAAATGCTATACAGAGTATTTACATTTTATGATATCAACTGGAACATAAAATTTTTTTAATTCAGATATACAAATTAAATACAAAAAATTTCTTAATAGCATGTATGAATACCCTGAACAGGAATACGAGCTTGACAGCAATGTCTAATGCTATTTATGACATTGTCAGTGAGCAATACCAATTGATCACAAAGAAGTTCTAAGCTCATCGCAGGTTTGAGGTTAGCAGCACATACTCAATGTAATTAAGGGCAGGAGAGATTGCTGCTATTGCATTTGGACTACAGTTTCTTCAAGAAAGTGGAGCACAAGGTGAACAGTTTGAAAGCAGGCATTATCAGCTTGCAAAATGAAGGTATCGCCGATTGCGACAGTATATATATGAACAATGGGCTACAGTATGTCGTCTTTGTACCTCTGAACATTGAGAGTTCCCTGTGGCAGCACAAACAGTTTGTATGCCCACCTAAATGTAATCTTCCCCATACAAGAACATTTACTTCCTGCATAAGTATACTTTTCCTTATGTTACATAGAAGATAGCAAGTGTTGCGTCTCTCCATGCATAAACATGCCAAGAATCATTCCATAAAGCAAAGCAGGATTCTTAAGTGAAGTCAATAGACCTCTACTGATTTTCAGTCCAGTTTACATTACTCTGCATGACAAATTCAAAAGTTTCCTCCAGTGGCAGAAGGTAAGAGGGATACATAATGCCGGTCGCCTAGCATACATCCTGTTGTGGCTTATACTGTTTTCCCTGTAGCAGAAATAAGCACAGGTCTACCCTGAGATAGAGCTGCAGTTCTGTTGCATCAAGCATTACGTCACATATAAAACCCATCTGCAGAAGTGTCGACTCTTGGCCAACCTTCAGTAGGTTCTTGACAGGCTCAAACAGAAGTTACAAATTGGTTTCACAACTTGTTTATAACAGAATGGTAGACATTTAGGTGTCTTACATTAGACTGTTGTTGAGCTGCTTCTACTCAGCCTATGGCTCCATAATGCAATTTTACTAGCAAATGTCCCTTGAGCTTATTTTTACACATTGGCCATCTCAAAATTGTTTAACCCTCCGAGTGGCCAGGATTTTCACTAAGAAAGCACAAATTTCCCAAAACTACTACGAGAACAAATTATTTTTTTGATTTTAATGTAAAAACTCTCCTGGTATTTCATACCTGGATTTGTGTACTGGATTTCATACCTGGATTTGTGTACTGGATTTCATACCTGGATTTGTGTACTGGATACCTGGATTTGTTTTGATACCTTAATTTCTTTGACTTATTTTAATATCCACGTATATATATGTTCTTACAGATATCACAAAAAATATTCTAGGCCATATATATATACGACCTTGCCGCTTAGAGGGTTAATATACTATTTCACTGAATTTCAAGTATTTAGAACTACTTTTAGCCAATTTTTTTATTTGTTGCTTAAATTTTGGAAAACTGTGTCCATTAAGAATGTAATTGCAACTAAATATATTAAGTAATAGAAACAACTTAAGTGAATGGAAATTTTGATATTGGAAACTGATACACCCAGGCTTGATAATAAACTAATTTATGCATATACTTTAAATAAATAATTTACCTGTTAAGATATGGCATCGCTGAAATTCATCGCGATCACGTACATCTAGCAACAGATACGGGAGTTTTTTTACTGGCTCAAGTGGAGCTGCAAGTGGTTTCTTTTTTTCATTGATAATGTCTAGCTCTCCAATTCCAATCAATACACTACAACAGAACACAGATAAAATGCTATAGATGGGCACACAACGTATACACTTACATGTACATATTAAAGTCTAAATAAATAAAATTTATATTATATTTTATCTAACAAAATAATCAGCTAATTAGGATGGAAAGAAAAAAGTTATCATTTTCATTGTTTGTCTCCAAACAGAAATCATCAAAAACATTATTGCTAATTAATTTATAAAAAAACTCCAGTTTTAACTAATTTACCACAAAATGTCAATACTCTTATATATCAACCAGAACAGCAAATTTGTAATTTTTCTTTAAAAAATCTAATGTGGACATCACATGACTTCCTTGTGCAGCCTATTAAATTACAGACATTAACTGCACTTAAATTAAACTTATTTCCTCGAATTATGCAAATTCTGGAAATAAATATTCTGATTAATTTTTATCATATGAGATTAACTTTATAATTTTATTTTTCATGACGAGTATAAAACTTTCCCAGTACAAGTATTTACTGGGAGGCCACATTATAAGTTAGATTTCGTTATCTGTAAAAAATTATTATTATTTTTGTTTTTATATTTGACATTGTGAAAACATGAATATTTTCATAATTTAAAACACTTCTGTAATTTGAAATACAATAAAAAGTCCAAGATCCGTACATTCAATATCCGGAATGATCTAAAATCTGAACCTCAAAGCCACCAACAACCTTTTTTTATTTTTGTATGCTTTACGCACGCACATTTGATCTTCTCCCCATAATAAAACACACAGAGAGTCCCTATTCTTAATTCACTTTGCCACTAAATAAAATACCTAATTACTGAAAAAACAATCATTTTAGAATAAATTTGTGTGATCAATAATTTCACTACGTAGCTGCGTATTTGCTTGGCACAGGTCTCAAACTAAAACATCTACATAAAAACGTCATTCACAAACACATTTTACACCAACTAGTATTTTATATCCCTGAAGTCAATATGGCAAATCATTATTTATTATATTTGGCTTTCATCACTACAGGCTTCTCAGCTCATGACAACTTGTGTAATGACTCATGCAGTGATGTGTAAACAATTTTTAATGGAATAACAAAGAGTACGGTAAACTATTCTGTTGACATTGCGCTTGACAATGATTACAGATTTAAGATAAATGAACTAAAAAATGTTGACGAGGAAAAATTTAACAAAAATTTCTTTTCGTATGCTAAAAATAGATTTTGTTAATGATACTCATTGGCCAAAAGATTACATTTAGTGCTATTTGAATTAAGAACAACTGATTTGTTATTTACATAAACCCAGATCTGGCGGCACAGCTCATATGGCCACACCAGAGAATGGAATTTCGGTTGTTAGCAGAACTGAGGCCCTGCAGAGACTGCATCAAGGCGGTAAGATGTGAAGCATCAGCCCTTGTTTAGCCGTAGGTATACGTGGGAATTTATTTATTCAAGACCCAGATAAGCCTTAAGCATGTGCATGAAATAGATGTAAATATAAAAAATAACTAAAAAAATACAATTCAAGCTTAATTTTGTCAGTGTGAGATAAAAGCAAGAAAAAATTTAGCGAAACAACTTGTCTTCAATTGCCAATCTGATGATAGCTGATACTGAAGCTGTTGAACAGTTTGCATATGAATTTATTGAATTCACTAATGGTGAAAAGTTATCGCAATAAATTTACAACACTGATGAAATTTGTCTTTTCTGGCAATATGTACCGCGAAATATCTTGGCAACCTCTACCGAAACAGCTCCAACTGGTGTCTAAGATTCCAAAGCAAAATTAACAATTTTAACATGCACAAATGCTGCAGGATTGCACAAGTGTAAACCTTTCATAATCGGAAAAAATACATGACCATGAGCATTTAAAGAAGTAAAGATTTTTTCCATTTAATATCATGCATATAAAACACCATGGATGACACAAGTGTTAATGAATGACTGCTTTGAAAATCATTTCATACCCGAGGCTCGGCAACATTTTAATTCGGTTGGTTTACCTGATGACACAAAACTTTTCCTGATTGTAGTACACAGCTAATGTTTTAGGTAAAAGATTATGTATCCATATCGTATGTCCTCCAAATCGTATGTCCATTATTCAGCTTACAGATATCGGAATAGTGCACGAGCTGCAAAATGCAAATATCAAGTACCATTTTTAGAGTACATGTTAAATTTCTTGAATAATGGCAACACTATTCAAGAATTTTTGAAATATTTTAGCATAAAATCTGCTGTGTGGAGCATCGCAAGATAGTGGGAGAATGTGTTTCCAGATACTTTAAAAAATGCTTGGCAAAATTTAATAGCCAGCTACCACATTTCATGGTGAGGCTGATGAAGATGATAGCCACAAATTTGAAGGTTTTTAGATATCACAAAAAGAAAGGCGAAATTTTCCAATTAATGGATTTTTTAAAGAAATGTGCAGAAGTGGCAATAAATGAAGATGATATGAAAGAAGTTTTTCATTGTGATGACGATGCCCCAATCATGAATCAATTAATGAATAACAAAATCTGTAGCATGGTTCTAGATGCGGAAAATACCACTACCATTAGTGAAGAAAGTGACAGAGAGGTTATTGAAAACGAAAAATTTCCAATTGAAAAGTTAACAGGGAATTCTCGAGACAGCAATTACAGGACTTGAACAAGAAATTAGATATATCTGTAAAATTAAAGAGAAAGTATTAGCACAAAAAATGAAGCAACGTAAACACTGAAGAAAATGTTTAATAAAGTAAACAAATAAAGATTAAGCTTTTTTCTGTAAATTTTGATACCCTTTAGATCATAAATGCTTCATTATTTCATAAATCACCAATTCATATTTTGAATTTTATAATTTTTACAATCCATTTTAAGAGATTTAAACTGATGATCTAATATCCGGAAAAATCTCAAATCCGGAATCTCCGATGTCCCTACGAGTCTGGATCTCGGACTATGTACTGTATAACAATTGCGAAAATAAAAACTGGGCAAGGACTTTTAGGACAGGCAAGGAGGATTATATATATATATATATGTGATACTGTAATATAATTACAGATATATATATACAGGGTGTATCTAAATTACTTTTACAAATTAAGAGGGGTGATAGTACTGGATGAGTACTATCAACCCTCTTAATTTGTGAAATTTGTAATGTAATGATGTAATTTCTTATCTGGATGAGATAAGCAATAATTACCATAGAACATAGGATCGCATTCCACTCTGAGAGGCCTATTTGGAGGACTATTTAGAATTCCAACCTGAACTTACAACAGTGTTGGGAGAGCGAATGAACGAGCAAAAGTTGCACAATCAGTTTAGTCAAAAACTCACAGAGAGTCCATAAAACAGATAAAACTGGAAACTTGGGCGTTCGAGTGTTAATTCGAGCTCAGACTTTGACGACAAACACTCAAATGCACATCTTTGGTTGGCAAGGTCTCTACCAGAAAGTCCAGGAAGACAGGATAGAAGATGGCTAAGAGAAAAACAACTGCTACCTTGATACCTGATACCAAGGTAGTTTTTCCGCCTAATAATTTAGATAATTAACTTGTTGCAATCATTTGCAAGGTAGAGACCTTGCCAACCAAAGATATGCATTTGAGTGTTTGTCGTCAAAGTCTGAGCTTGTATTAACACTCGAATGCCAAGCTTTTGGTTTTTTGAATGCCAAGCTTTTGGCGAATTTGAAGACTCGTTTGAGAGCTTTTTAACAGCAATTTTTTCGTATTATGATGGAATATTTAACTCTTAAACTCTTGAATAATGCTATAAGTTAGGCTGTTTGTTTAAATGTGTACATATTCAGTTTCAGTTTAAAAAAAAAAAAGAGTCACATTTTCGCCATTTAGTGAAGCTAGCAACTTTCGCATGCATTTCTTAGGCTCAAAGTTCTGCTAGTGTAAATGGGCCTTTAAGGAGATAAAGGCATAGAGACAGAGAAACCTTTTTAAAGAAAAAGCGTTAAAGCACTAGCAAATGAAGAAAAACGTACATCATAAAATTTTGATCAACATAAGTAACTAAATAACTATAAAGTATCAATTTAAAAAAATAATTTCATTTTTAGAGTCTTTTTAGATTTTTGAGAATTTTAGACCAAAATTCTTTTTGTTTGAGAGTTCGCATAATCATAATTCTTCAAGGAAGATTCTTGTTATCACAGAGTATCACATATAAAATCTTTTACATAATCATTATTTATAATTAAATGTAATACACATAAATATTTTATACTAATTTCCATATTGATAAATTATATTTTACCACCCTAAATATAATAGGAGTAACATTTTCAGAAATTATGGTTTCACCATTATTATCTTTCATTTGCAATTCCTAATTTTACCAAAATGCAGTACTTCTAAACAAACATTTCTATCATTATGGCTATCTTCTTGAGCTAACCAGTGTGTGTTCTTCTGCACTAGTGGCTCAGGGATGCCTAGGCAGTTACTTGAAAAGGCCCCTATTCCTTGCATAAGGTAACTGGCCTTTGTGAACTGCACTAATACATTCCATAATAAAAAAATGAAATATGTATGTATGTATATAATATATAATTATATAAATAAATATATATAAATATTTTTAATATATATATAAATATTATATAGGTTTGATGATCTTAAATTCATTTAGTGTAAAAACAATTTTCGTAAATATTATATATATATATATATATATATATATATAAAAATTACACTCAATCGTAAAATGAGAGCCTCCAAAATTATCTTTTATGAAGAGAGTAAATGGAACAACTGAACAGAGGCAATAACAGGCCTCTGTTTAGGAACCAGTACTCCCTCAACATACTCTAGACTTAAGATACAATCGCCCATAAATTTTAACATACATCTTATTAAGTGACGAAGTCACGCAGCAGGTTCCTGGGCTTGGCCCTACCCTGTGTGTAATGAAGTTGGTTGGTATACATACCAGGGTTGCCACTCAAACAGGAGAATGAAATTCCCTGACTTTTCCAGGTT